CTTCAGTTCTCTGGAACTTGGGCACTCCATTTCTTCATTGCATTTGTTCCTTCCGTTATTAAACAATATGGGGTCTCCAGTGTGCTGGGCATGTATCCTGGGAGTACCGACGGGTAGAGGAGGCTTCATTGCCAGGCACCTCATTCACTGTTGTGTGTGGTTTCTCTTCCTCCCACATGTGCCAGCCCCCAGAAGGCAGGGCTGAGTCTTACAAGGATGCAGTGTTGGCATTTCAGCACGTGGCAGGCAGCAGATGCCCAGTGAAGGTGGGCTGAATTTGGAGGTCAGTGCTGAGGATTTTAAAGGCTTTCCCTTTCAGACTGTCGGATGAGGTAACCATCTTCCTTTTTTCTAAAACGGGATAATGTATATGATGTATCAAGGCAAGTTATCCTCCATCCGTTTCTTTTCCTGTCCTATATCACGCTATTTCTATTCTCACCGTTCCTTTGAGACCATCATACCAGTTTCTCCTGCTCTGACTCTCCCCTTTTTCTTTCCTTGCTCTGACGCCATAGACAGCAAGAAATACACACACACACACACACACATATATATCTGTCTGGTTTCGTATTTCTTTATCCCTGTCGCTTCTTAATACGTATGTGAAATGCCGTTGTCTCCCTCTGTACACGTCTCTCTCGATATGTGTGTGTCTGTTGGGACTGTCAGGAGAATCTGGCTCCACGCCTCACAGGAACACCCCCGCTGTGTGTGTTTGTGACATCTCGTGCTGCTTCTGCTCCTGCAGTGTATATGTTCCTCCTGAATCTTAAGCATTTTTGATGGCAGGAAAAGTATTTTTTCACTTAGATTAAACCCATATTCGAACACCCACTACATCATGTGGGCACAAGTGACTGATAAAGCAACAGAATTTTTACACCTGCATAATCTGCCTTCTGTGTAGATACCTGGTTGCCAATTCCACAGGATCATACGGAGGTGAAGTTTTGGGGGAAAGATGTTGCAACTTGGGCTGGTGTAAGGGTAATGGATAAAACTGAATCCTAAACAGAGCTGAGCTTCATTGCTTACACTTAAAATTTTTATTTTCCTTGCCCTTTCAACATTTTAAAAAAATGGCATGGGGAAAGCTTGGGATTAACAGCAGGGAGAGCATTCAAGTTACATGTCTTGGCAGATCTTTCTCCTTTTTTCTTTGTATACCCTCGGTTTTTACTTTATTTCAACTTTTATTATAAAGAATCCATGCCATACAAGTTTGTTACATGAGTAACTGTGATGCTGAGGCTTGAGGTTCCATGGATACCATCACCCAGGCTATAAGCATAGTACCTACCTCCCTCTTTTGAAGAGAGCTTGTGTATAGTAAGCTCAGTTTCCCCTGGAAAGCAGTAACATTAACCTTTTTTGGCCCAAAGTTTTGTTTCTTAACCAAATTTAGATGAGAGGCACCTCCACAGTTAGGAAGGTCCTCCATGGACACAAACTAATAAAAATGTTTATAGAATTTTGGTCATTTGATAGAAACAAAATGAGGAGCCATCCTTTGAAAAGGAGCTGGAAGTCCTTATGAGCTGTGGTGTGTTGGAAGGTCTTGGTCAGGTTATTCCTGGTCAGGTTTGGGAGCAGTTCTGCCCCATGCTGGGAAGACTGGGACTCCCAGTTTCTCCCAGTCACAGATTCCCTCTACCCGAGAACCTTGAGCACTCTTAAACCAATGCCTCTGGAAGCCCCTTATCTATTCAGACCCATCACTGTGTAACTAAATAAAGGAGAGAAAATTCATGTATAAGAACATGGAGTTGCAGAGGAGACTCTGTTGAATTAGCTGACAAACCACCAGTTTGAGGAAGAGGAAAAGCCCTGGCCTGGTGGGAGTCTCCGCTCAGTCTAGTTCTCGCTGAGCCCAGGAGTCAGGACTGTTGGGCAGAGGGGAACATGCCTGTGTTTATTCCGTCAGATGGCACTTATGTCTTCCTGCTGGATCTCTAGACACTAACTTTCCTATAGGTTCCTCATGCACTAGGAGGGGAGATGGACTGCCATAAAGGAATAAAACACAATCACTCACTGCAGTTAGGAGAGACATGAGCAAGAGGCCAGGGAAGCCCAGAGGAGGACAGGATTCCTAATACAATCCTGACTAGGCGTGGGAAGGAAGAATTAAGGACTGTTTCTTCAGAGAGGTGTTGGCTTTAGCTGAAGAAAGGGGAAGGGGCTTTAACTGGGCAGATTAAGAGTGGTGACCTGGAGGGACTGAGGAGAAGGACATTCCAGGAAGAGGAAGTCCTGCAGGTTGTCTTGAAAGAAGTCAGTCCAGGAGGCTCTGGCAGAAATGAGGGGCCTTGTTTTGGGAATCTCCTAGCATAGCAACAGGGGGGTCTGTGCCTGATTCTGTACATAATGTTTTATTGGAACACAGCCCATCCATTCGTTCAGCTGTTATCTGTGGCTGCTTTTTCATGACAACAGCAGAGTTCAGTAGTTGAGACAGGGACCTTGTGGCTCACAGAGTCTTAAATATTTACTTTCTGGTTCTTTACAAAAAAAGTGCTAACCCTTAACTTTATTCCTTGAAATTCTTAATGAATGGACCCACACTGTCAGCTTTGGGGCTTTGCTCGCAGGCCTTCATGGACCTGTTAGTTTATTTTCTCATTCAATGAGCCTGCTTCACCCCACCCTACCACACCACCGTGTCAGTAGCCTCTAGTTGGCAGTGAATATTCCAGGAGTAGAATAGTATCTGTGGTGTAAAGGGGGTGGCATTTCCCTGCCAGGTACCCCCTAAAATGTCTGATTACCAACTGCAGGCTCTCATAGACTGTGCCTAATTTCGTGGAACCTCTGCTGCTGCTCATTTGCTTGGCCAAAACCCCCCATCATGCCAAGTAAGCATTGGCAAGCAAAATCAGAATTAAAAAATAGTGATAGGTATAATGGTCGCTGCAAAATACTATTCTCTGGTGAGGCATTCCATTTGTTAGGGCTTCTGGAGCTCTTTCCACCTCAAGTCTGCATCTATTTCAAAAACACAGAATGCTTTTCCAGAAATGTCTGTGCATTTGAAATGCTGTTTTCCCAGATATAGCAAGTGAAAGTTGTGTGGAATTATATAGCAAATGCCAACTTTTAAGCACCTACTGTGGTCTGTGGTATCTGCCATTGGGCATTCCAGGCCAGCCTCTTGTTGGGTGTTGATTTAGTAAGAGCTGAATGAAATAGAGGCAGAGTCATTCCCATTTTACACATCATGCAACAGGGGCTCTGACAAGCCAAGTAACCTCCATTTTAACTACTAAGAGACCCATGAGAAAGAGGGTATTTTTTTTATGCTCTAGTTATTCTTAACAGATAGAGGGCTTATTGAAATACTTGAATCAAGAGGTCAAGAATTTTGGTGACAGACTATCAAAATAACTGGTTTTCAAGGGACAGGTGAAATCCTTCTTAGCACCAACTTCCGTCTCAGTCCCAGCAGCCACTGAGTTATTTCAATACCCCTGTGAAATAATATTGCAGTTTGGAATCTAGTTTTTGATTATTGCTTTCTTTAGAAAACTATCAGCAGTAAGTAATGATATTTTCCAGACATTTCTGGAATATATAGTAGGTCTGAAAAGAGAAACGTGTAGGTTTAGGGTTGTCCTGTTTTCCGACTAAAATGGTCATTCCTACGTAACAATGTGATCATAATCTTCCCCTCTATAACATTATTCCACCATGTTCTTAGGTTAAAGATCAGGGTACTTATTGTGGTATTTGAAGCCTTTCCTGTTGCATCTCCTGTCTGGCCTGAGTACCTCACACTTCTTTCTGTTGGAGACCACCTCAGTTCCTTGAACGGCATCGTTAGATTGTCCCTTTGGCTGGCTCACTCCCACTTTGTCTTCACATCTTGGCTAAGATGTCACTGGATGCAGGAGGCCTTCTTGGAGCTTTGGAGAGTAGGCTGGGTGTCTTTCCTTGCCCAGCCCCCCATAATGCCTGTTATACTGTTGTTCCATTGTTCATTGTTCATTTATTTGTATGTTCTCCACCATTAGACTGTAAGCTCCATTTAATTTTTTTAATCGACATAATTATATATATTCATAGGGTACTTAGTGATGTGATGTTGTGATACATAAAATATATAGTGACCAGATCAGGGTAATTAGCATTTTCATAATCTCAAACATTTCTCATTTCTTTATAGCTAGACAGGAGGAATAAGCTCTGGTGTTCTATAGCACTGTAGGATGGCGCTAGTTCACAATAATATATTGTTTTAAATAGCTAGGAGGACTATATTGAATGACCCTTAGCTTCTCAGAAGGAGAAGGAAATGACCCTTAGCTTCTCAAAGGCATTTGTTTTCATTTTGACCCTACAGTTACAAGGAATAGGAACCCATTCAAACTAGCTAATATAAAAGGAGTTTATTGTGAGGAAATACTTGAAACAATAAGGAGACCTTCATGGAAATCTAAGGACTAGGTCTGTAAGAAGCTGTATCCCATGGATGCAGGATGGGAGTTCCTTAGGATGGTGCAGATACATCTTATGACTCTCTGTGCACCAGCTCTATTCACATCTCTCTGGCCTACTGGCTTTCTCAGCTCATGCAGTTGTCTTCACGAGGTCTGTTCATGGCCCCAGCTTGCCCACATAGCCTAGAATGTCCCTACCAGTGCTGGAGGACCCTCGTAATCACATGGCTCTATTTTCTGCTCCCTGCTTGTTTGGTTTCTTAGTTGCCCAATTGCAGATTTCTAAGCAGGCACTCTGGTTGGCCTGGATCACTTTTTTAAGCCGGGCCACACATGTTGTCATAGGTCTCTGACCAGCCTGTAGGTGGGCTGTCCTCAGGTCAGTCATCACTGTGAACCAGTCAGCTATGTTCGAGCTGGAGGGGCTCCATGTATCAGAGCATGGCTGCCAACAGAGACCTTTCTTTTTTGGTTTCTCTCCCTACCTCTTGGCTTACAAGAATGTTAGGCTTGTGTTTTATAGATCTCATTGTATCCTCTGTTGTTTTTCATTCTTCACAGATATCATTAACGGAGCTCAAGAAAAATGTGTATTGCCTCCTATGGACGGCTACCCCCACTGTGAGGGAAAGATCAAGGTAAGGCAGAGGCGAGCAAGGTCATTTTCATCATCCCCAGTCTGCACAAACACCTCTTCTTTTTCCTTTCCCTTCCTTTTCCTCCTCAGTGATACAAATGGGTGAGTGAGCCCTTGACATGAATCATTTATGGGGTGCCTCCATTCTGCCGGCTTTGGCTGTGGCCATGACAACCCTGCTCTGCCTGCGTCAACCATGTGGGGTTGGTCAACAGTGGCGCTCACTGGTCAGCAGGAGAGAGCCTGGACCATTTCAGGCACCTGCTAAGTCTTTGAAGCTGACTTCCCCTCTCTGTTTCCCAGCCTCCAGCAGGTGATCCTTCGAGGACCAATGACAAGGAACTGCCGTTATTTAGTGTCCAACTCCCCACCCTCTCAGTCCCCAGGCTCCTGCTCTGAAGCCTTCAGATTGTGGTTTAAGTGTCACATTTGCATTTGTGGTTGAGTACCCAGAGACACTTGGCTGCTCTTTTACTTGGCTGCTTTTTTTTTTTTTTTTTTTTTTCAGAAATCCTATTTGTATGGCCTGTCCCTGGGGAGACCACTCCCTGCTCAGTAGTTTTCAGAGAAAAGTGTCCATTCAGGGATGTAGTTATGACAGTGGGACCAGCCCCAGAAACATTTGGGTGGTATCCATGTGGGCCGTGTGTCAACACTCACTTGTGCCCTCCTGCACACACTGTTTCAGGTACCATGCTGTGGGCTGTTGGAACTGGAGTTCCTGGAGGGGGTGTAGATATCAGAGTCCCATTAGGCACTTGATCTTGGTAAAAATCCCCGAGCCACCGCCTCTCCTGGGCTTTATTGCCTGCTGTACCACAACCTTACTCTCCACTCTAAGCACTTCTGCTGAGGCCTAATGTAAGCCAGTGTCTTCCTGTTAATCATCCAAGGAGGTGAGCTGCGCACCTGGCTATCTTGACCTTAGCTCAGTGACTCTGTCACTCAGTTCTTTAGGCCACAGCTTGAGCCATCCACTCCGTCTTCACCATTCCTATCCTCGCCTTCCCTGTCAGCAGATGTGGAGGGCCTGTGAATGGGCTGCTCAGAGATGTTCTTCTTGTTTCAGTGGATGAAAGACATGTGGCGTTCAGATCCCTGCTACGCAGACTATGGAGTGGATGGGTCCACCTGCTCTTTTTTTATTTACCTCAGTGAGGTGAGTAGCTTTCTGTGGCTCCTGGGGGCAGATGTGACTTGTTGGACTGTTCTGTAGCTGAGTCTGAAATTTGAAAAGCTTAAAAACGTGTGGTATTTTTATATGGAGGACCAATGATTCCGCCCTTCATTACTTTCCCTACTCCTCAGGAAGGATGATTTTTTTTCCCCCTTGAGGGAAAAATAAGTGGAGTTAGTTAGCTATTTCCTTTTTTCCTAGTTTTTTTTTTAATTGTAGTAAAATAGACATAACATGACATTTGCCATCTTAACCATTTTCAAATGTATAGTTCAGTGGAATTAAATATATTCACATTATTGTTTTAACCATCACCACTGTCCATCTCTAGAATTCCTTTTATCTTGCAAAACTGAACTTCTAGACTCATTGAAATCTAACTCCCCGTTAAGACCCTGCTTTCAGTTATTTTGGAAATATACCCAGAAGTTAAATTGCTGGATCATATGGTAATTGTATTTTTAATTATGGGGGGAACTGCCATACTGTTTTGTACAGCAGCTGCCCCATTTTATACCAGCAGTGCGCAAGGATTTTAATATCTTCATATTCTCACCAACACTTGTTATTTTCTGGTTTTGTTTTTTGAATAATATAATTATTTAGAGAAAGGATCATTCAGCTTGGGTAGGTATAAAGGAGTCAATATTGGGAAATCTCCTGGGTTTGTCAAGAATAGATGCCATATGAGCTGAATCTTGAAAATACATGTGAGAAGTAAGTTAGGTAAATGAAAGACAAAAGTGTATTCAAGGCAGAGAAACAACATAGGGAAAGTTATTTTCAGTTGCACATTGGGAGTGGCGGGACAATGGACATAGGCAGGGGCTACTGCTTGGGAAGTATGGAATACTCTCCGAAAACCTGGGAATGTGGGTAGACCTACCTGCTGATAGACTTTATCTTCAGGTCCTCTGTGCCATCAACATACTCATCCATGCTGCGGTGGAATTCAATGTAGCTGAAGCTCCTGCTCTCTGTGTAGCTATTTTTGGAATTCTCCCAGTGACACTTGAGTACATTGGGGGCATTCTGGGCCCATACATATGCATGTCTATAGCAGTCATTCCAGTTGTCATTAGCACATGTATGCTCAATTTGGTACCCTGAGATTTAGATGAACATGTGAGAGCTCTTTTAAAACACTTCTTTTTCTCATGAGGACATCACATCTGTACTCTTGGACATGGGTAGTGATGTTTTATGAATTGCCTCCAGTAGATGTTTTTCTTGTGTACAAGCAGCCTGCATAGGATCAAAGCAGGGCCAAGAGTGGGCTCCAGATATTTAGAGAGGTTGCCATCTCAGTCACCAGGGCCACCCTATTCAGATTCAGCGTTTGAGTCACTGCTTATAGTAGGGATTAGTGTGTGGATCTGAACAGCAGTCTATGTCCTCCTCCTCCTTTTACAGCCCAGGAAGCATTTACTGGTTTATTATAACAGAAACAAGTCAGAAACAGCCAGAGGGAAGAGATGCGTAAGACAAGTTTGGGAGGGAAGTAACTAAAAGTTAGTTACTTTTACCTTTTTTCCCCTAAATCTGAGCCTCATTTTCATTTGTACCCTTGAATTTAAATAGCAGCTTTTGTATTTTTTTTTTTTTTTTTTAACGATTGCAGAGAACTTTATGGGTCACTTGAATCTCCTACAGGCTTTAAGGATATCCGTTTCACCTAGAATCTAGGGAATCAAAACCGGCTGGCTTCCCCTTTATGGACTGGGGGAGGAAGGGGTCTTTGGGATCTTGTGGTTCTAGCCAATTCTGAGGTCGTGCCTCCACAGACCCTCTGCTGCCCTTTTTTTAATTCTGTCCCCCGTTTTTGTTTGCTGTTGCTGTTGTTATTTGACCAATAATAACAGCTGGTGATACCATGCAGGAAGGAGAATACCTTCATTTTTGAGGCTAAATAAAATATTCTTGCCATGGTTTTCCTTGTGGGATTCAGATGCCTCTCTTTTCTTTGCCATAGGGTGATGGGGATAGAGGCCAAACAGTATTGCTAATAGGACATGTGGCCCTGATTCTGTGGGGTTTGCCCCTCTCTGACTATTACTTCTTTTGCCTGGGTACATTGAAGTCACACAAAAAGTGTGTGACTTGGGGGGTCCAACTAGGCTCCATGATTTTTTAGGGGAAGAGGGACAAGGTTGTTCCATTGCCATCATGAAAACCCCAGAGCTAATTCTAGTTAAAATACCTCTTGGAAATGAACAGCTCTGAGAGTTGTGTGTATGAGGTTCCTCATTAGCAGGCTGCTGGCAAATTGACTTGGTAGCATTTATTTGAGTTTCTGGCTTCGGGCTTGGGTGGCCTGTGGTCTGCCTTCTCATTTCCTTCTCCAGAGGAGTGAAGCCTGGGGCCACGTGTTGACCTTCACTCTAGTTGAAAAGTCAATTAGAAGTACCTCTCCTGCCCTGAGGAAAAGGTTCCTCATTTAGTTTAATTTTCAAAAGTTTTATTCCCCTTTCTACATGATAGAATTTAGCCAGAGTCTGACCGGGCTCCATGATTGACAAGCTGGGCTGATTTCATGCTTTCCTAAGCGTTTGCATGTTGGGGTGTGCTGCTGAGGCAGAGGATTTTCATGTCCATACTTCCATCTCCTGGGAAGGCATAGAGAGTGATCCAAATGGAAGAGACTGCAGTTACTTGTGACTTCTTACCCTCCCTTTGTCACACCTCACCCCTGTCCCCAGTGAAGTATATGGCTAAGCTGAGAGAAAAGTGAGGTTCTGGGGAAGGGAAGTAGGGAGGAATATGGGATGAAGAGACATGATGGATCACATACACTTGCTATCTGAGGCTGAGTATTTCATTTTGGAACCAGCAACTATGTTTTCTCTTCCTGAGGTGTGAAATATGCTTCATTAGCCCATTCCACTCTCTTGTTACGCAGATGATCGGGTGGTCTTTTTGTTACTTGGCTGAATTCTATTCAGTGAGCAGTTATTGAATTCTTTGTCAACAGTTAATGAAAACACATTTTCTTGACACCATGTTATGTGTTAATCATTGTAAAAGCAACAGGAAGAAAGGATGCAGATAACTGAACCAGGAGAAGGGGTGGAGATAACTAGGGAACTCTTCTTAAAAGTTTTAATCTGAGTGTAACCCTGAACCTCTGGGCTTTTCTATGTTATCATACCATTGTAATAAGTACCCTATGAGAGTTAAAGGAGAATTTCACCAATATGGTCCCTTCAATAGGAATACTACCTTAGAGTCTTACACCTGACTTCCGCTTCTGTTTCTGCTGCTTTCTAAGCTCTATGAGGTCACTTAACCTTTTATGCCTAGGATTCTTCCTTTATAAAATAATAGGAATGTACTTAGAGTACAACCTGGCAGATAAAAGATACTCAATAGCATGACTGACACTTCTATGGTTTTAAATGGTGTGATCTTTTGAGAATAGTTGTGGGGTGTCACTTAGCCTTGGACATGATATGTGGCAACATTGTTCCGTTTTTGAATTACAATCAATTTCAGTCCTCATTTACCAATGTAATACAATTTTAGATCCTTTGACTTCTGGTAATATAGAAATTCAGCTGTTTACCTTAATGCCTGTTTTTAAATTGACAACATTTGTATGTATTCATGGTATACAACTTGATGTTTTGGTATGGGTCTGCATTGTGGAATGGCTAAATCAAGCTAATTAACATGTGCATTTCTTTACATACATATTTATTTGTGGTGAGAGTATTTTCCCTTGATTTGTCATTTCTGGGCATGATACTTGTGTTTGCACTGGAATTAGCTGCACGTATGGAGTCAGTGCACCCTATCATTGTTAATGTGAGATTAGTAGAGATGTTTTGTAACACCAGTTAATTCCTTCTTAGTATTTTTTAAATCTTGGACATTATCTGTGGCTTTGTAGGAGCTGTTGGTTCACTGTGTGGGTTTATTCTCTCTTGCTGTCTTGAAACTTTCCTTATTCTGTTATTTAGGTAAACTCTGAAACCTGCGTTTTTATTTCCTGTATCATCTCCTAGGTTTCTCTTGCAACTGGGGAGATGATTGAGAGAGACATCTTCATTTGAGTTGTTAACGTGATTAACACATGCACCAGTGACTTTTATTCTATTCCTAATCCTTATTGAAAGAGCCAATTCTTGTTTTGAACTATGTTTAACATCAGAGCTTTGACAGATGCCAAAAGGACATGAAGTAAAATGTCTCTTGTATAGTCAGTCACTAGTTGAATTGGAGCATTTAGATTCAGACCCATCTTAAGAGACGGTACTCTTCCTTCATTTTTCTTTCTTACGGTTGTCTCAGTGCACCAGCTTCTGCTGAGTTACGGGATTAGAAACTTGTTAGTACTTTCACCCTCACCAACTTGTAGTCTATGGATATTTTTTGGTTAAATCCCAGGAAGCAAAGCCATCAAGATTTTTCCTTAAAATACCCCCACAGCTGCTTGTTATAATATCTCTGACACTGTACTAGAGATGGTAGAGATAAAAGCTGAGTGGTTGCCCTTCTTTAGAGGTGGGACTTTGGGGGCAGACAAGAGAAGAATGAAATATTATTGATTCTCCCCTGTACCAGACACCTCAAATACAGAACAACCCCATTTTATTTAAGTGACTTCAGCATCTGAGGATTTTAATATCCACGGGTGTCTTGAAACCAGTCCCCAACAGATACTGTGGGTCAGCTATACACGATCTTATTTAAACCTCTCGCCAACTCTGAAGAGTAATGGAGAGCCAAGTCATAGATAGCTCAGAGAGGTCAAGTCACTTAGCCCCAAAGTCCTGCACTTTTCATTCCTGCTGTCTCCTTTGTGATGAAGGAAAACTGAACTTGGATAGCTGACTTGTAGCCATTGACTTAGCATTCAGTTGTATGGTTAAATCCACTTGTGATGGAAAAATGGCTCTAATTTAGCTAACTTCAATGAATAGATCTTCACTGCTAGTTTTCTAATACTCCATCATTGCTAGTTTTCTAATACTCATAATTTC